GGATAAGTTGCTTTAGGTTTTCTAAGTCCACCTATCTATCTATTCATTTCTTGATTTCTCTGGATTTCTGATTCGGTTTCTTGACTCTAATAACATTCAATATTTTATACGTTGAATATTTTGCTTACCACGTTCACGTCGATGGCTTTCCCGAAATCGTTTTCGTTGATGACACCAACATTGTTCACTAGGATCTCGAGGCCGCCGAGTGTCTTCACTGCTTTTTTGAACGTATCTGCGATGAAATTATTCACATCATTCTCCTATATATATATATATATGTATGTGTGCCGAACGAATGTATATGTGTTGTATTTTTAACTCAATTTAGACTCGTTTTCAAAACAGTAATCTACGTGATCTACGTGTCACAGGAGAAGTTACAGTTAATTGACATACGTAACGTGAAATCTTCATTTCAAAGGTGAAACCGAGTGCATTGAAGTCCAATTACCGATCAAATTGAATATTGGACTTTTTTTCTTGACAATTAAATTTGTATTTAATTATTATAAAAGCGTGTGAAATGTAGTTACTATCGAATTCGGCATTGTTCGCGACGTCGCAGTGAAAGAATACAGCCCGATTGCGGCCAAATTCCGCGTTCAATACGTTCATCGCTTCTTTGCCAGCTACCTCCTCGATATCAATCATTGCTATTACCTGAAATTATTATTTACATCACTTTTTTCTTCTTCTTTTTTTTTTTTTTTTTCTTTGCAAGGAAAAGAGATTCTTCACGTTTAAATGAAAATTAAACGCACACCTACCGATGCACCATTTCGTAGCAGTTCTCTGCTGATGTTCATGCCCAAACCACCCGCAGCTCCCGTTACGATGACTCTTTTGTCCTTGATCTGCATACTCTTCTATATTCCTTCTTCCTCTGAGAAAGAAGAGTGACGTCTTCTCCGATTCAAACACTTCGTTCCTCCAATACGGTGCAAACGGAGTCCTGGCACTTGGAGTATACGACGAGCGGATCTTTATTTCCCGGGAAAATCGACGATTTGCCGATGAAACGCGAGCTTAACACGTTCGTGGACCAGTCTCGCACGGAATGTTCACCACGGAATGATTCTTCGTTTTCGTTGCTTCATTTACGAGGCATAAGGCCAGTTGAATAAATGAAAAGAGCTCGAAGAAAAAAAAAAAAAGGAAAAAAAAAGAAAGATAGATTAATCGAAGTTAACGCCGGCGAGCAAGAGTTGAAGATTGAGCCAGTCAGTGCCTTCAGTAGCCACTGATCGCAAAATATTCTGTACTGGAGGTTTTCTATCAAAGCTGATACGATTGACGTCGTGATCTTCGACCTTTCGCGCGCCATGATGTTTCGCGAGCAGGATAGCGAATCTTCCGCTATCTGCATCGAACATCGTGGCCTGTCGCACCACGTGTCACCCTTTGATCTTTTATTGCCTACGAGAGAAGCTCTTTGAGAAGCTCCTCTATAGTAGTTGTCACTCTTCATTTATTACATAGCAAGCGATTTCACGTTCATTTTATTCCCACGAAAACGAAGGTTTGTTTTTTTTTTTTTGACGATTTACAAAACAATCTCGGTGTACAAAGGTAAAATCTTTCACTTTTTATTCCAGAAGCAATGTTTTACATGATTTTCACTTCCGTTTGATAACCGTGCGACGATTATTTGTTGTTCTGCTTTCTCCGTCACGTGTCAAATTTTATTCTACATAGTACAAGATGGTCGATGTGAGTTTACGTCTGCTTTTAGCGTTTTGTTTTTTTTTTTTTTTTTTTTTGTTCATGGTTTAGTGTGTTACCATTGAATTTATTTATTAAATAAGACAATCTTTAGAGATTCAGCTCCACTTTTCTGTAAGGAGGGAATTCGACGGCGTACGGTGGTTTCTGAGCCTCACTGACCCAGACTGATCCATTCGGGCCTTTCAAAAGGAGCTTTATCATCGCTTTGACAACGTATTCCGTTCTGGCGGCATGAAGATGAAAAAAAAAAGAAAAGAAAAAAGAGAAGAACTTCAGATTCACATTATATTTCTCTGACAAGTTATTCGAA